ATAGACGACAGCCAATGACACAAAGCAGAGTGTTGTCCAAAATTTGGAACTCGTTACTCTATCCGGAACAAGAAAGATCGTTTAGAGCCGTTGTGATTAATACTACTGGGATATTCACATTTCGCTACCGGGTTTAACAGATTTACATGTGGAGTTTGGGTGTTCGTCACGTTGTTGAATCCATTCCTTTTTCGATTGGCGGAGGACGCCGTCCACTGGCAAAATTCTGAGCTAATGACCCATAGGTCTGTGAGTATTATTGGCCTTCTGCTTTTTTCTGATATTTTAATAGGCAGTTCGATGTTAATCCAGGAGGAGTATTTTCCCTTCGCGCGTCAGACTAAGTTTATGCAAAATTTGCTACATTAGAGTGAAGTAATTCAAAGCGATTATCAACCAATTAATGCAATGGTCTACTGCAATGAAGGTTCTGTCTAGCAAGAGCTGGAAGATCAGTCTTCATCATACAAAATACGATGCATCAGTCTTATAACATACTAACTTCCGTGCTTCATGACAGAACTGAAAAGGAGCAATCGAAAAGCATGCATATTTTAGTGAATGGACAGAGACTGCAGCTGAACTACATCGTGAGTTCGTTTCAACTAATCATTTACTTCTTCAATGGTCAGTGATTGCTTACTGATCATCGATGATCGTTTGCTATAACAGCATATATTAAGGTGAATGACAAGTAGGAAATTCAGAACGAGATCATCTGAATCAGGTAGTACTGGAAGAAAAATCCTAACTCACGCAGTATTACTAATGTGGAATCAGTCAGTTTCTATTGCCGCTTATTCTCCAGGGTCGCGGAGCCATGATTCAGACAATGTTGCCAACGTTTTCGATCCTGTGCTGGCGTTTGAGCTTCGACTGACGACAACGAGAGTCTAATGTACTATATTCTGACACTTGCTCCGGGGTCTTAAGCAGGTCCGTTAAACAAGTAATAGCTGTTTCGCTTTCCATGTTGGAAGCATTAGCAAGATTAATATGGAATAATAACCACTATTCATGAGACTCAAACATAAAAAGTCAAGTGATTTAGGTAATTTCGGGGCTGTAAGAGGCAAAACTATTATGTCTGTGGCGTCTACTACATCCGTATCGCTAAAAATGGCAGATGTTTACATCTGTCTGAAGTCTGAAAGAGCAAACTTTACCTGCAGCTAGTAGACAAGACAAGTCTTAAAATAAAATAAAAACATCCATGAAAAGATCACATGCCATCGACATGAAGCACCCGCAGTCGCCACACGTTGCCGCTCCTCAACCGGATTATTGACCGCGACTTTGACTTACGTTTTTGACTTCGTGGCTAAACAGAAACCACAGTATCATATGGCTCAATCCTAAGTTGTAGCCTTGCCTCTTTGCGATGACGCGGTATAGTTTGTTGAATTTTACCTCGTAAACAAATTCGTTACAGGTGACACACATTTTGTCCATAGTGAATATAACTGTGAAATGGTGTGTGTAGTCCCCGAAATAGTTCTGAGAACAACAACCCAAATACCTGCATTCAAGGCAGTACAGCAGTGAGACGCTTTTCTGACTACAAAGGTTAGGCAAGAAAAAAGTCGACTGTAGACGAGACTGGCTGCTGAGAGATTACATGACAGATCGTGCAGCAGCTGTTCAAAAGGATGGTATGGACTTTCGGAATTTCTTGATGTGTTTCCATTCAAACTTCGAAGTTTACCAAGGGGTAATGTCACAGCAAACGATTACGGAGAAATTCGGTGATTCCCGTAATTCAGTGTTACTTCAACAACTTGCGATAGTCGCCATCGTACAATAAGTTCTTTCGTTATAAAACGCGAAAATTTACATTTAAGCACGTACAACTGTCACGTTTTGTAAATGCAATTTTCTATCGTCTTTAAAGATGATTTTTCTTCAAGCGGCTTAACTACATTTTCACAGAAAGTAAGCCAAATCTTAGACCAGGACATAACAACAGCAAAAAATCGGCAGTTATATGCAGCTGGCTGTGCAATAACGAAATCAGCTCTGAAACTTCTAACTAGAAATCGAATTCTTTTCTAGCTGGAATTTACTGCTCGTTGTTTCAGGCAAACACACGCACATAAACAATTCTTTTACTTTTTCATTTACCCCTTTTGCTAATTTCTTAAACTGACCCCAACCACAACCGAAATTTAAATTTTATTCATAAACATAGCATGACCGTGTGTTACATATAGTGCATGTTTATTACTTTACGAAAGTTTCGTCATAATTTAACATATAATTTTCAGACTAAGGAACGTTAAAGATTTGATCTTAGCTACTTCCGGCCCACGTATGAGATTCAGAACTGTGCTCCACAGATGCATGGAGGCTTTCTGACAGGCCAACCTGAAAATGATTTGGATTCCGTAATGAAACAGCAATGAGTCGAAGGATACACAGGGATCTTTAGTACGCCAATGTTGCGGTAAACAAGCAGTTTGCGTAAGAGTATATTGACTATTGGAAAGGATAACAAGGCATTTAACTATCGCTTTAAAAAGAAAGATGCAAGCATTGCCAAAAATGCAATCAAACGTGTATTAATAAAAGGATAAAAAGCAGCATCTAAGGTGAACAAAAGATTATTGATATTTCGCGGTCAAAAGATTGGAACAATTTACATCGTGATACCACCTCTCAGAGCAAAATTACAACCAGTCTTCATAGAAAAAGGAGATTCTGCAACCTTTAGAATACACTTTCATGATCAGGCCATTTTGGCAGGCGATGCAAACGAACGATCTCCATTGCTCGCCAGTGAGCAAATGATTATCAGAAGAGATAATTCTTCAATGCTATTGACACGACCGACATTAAAAAGGTTCCTCAGCAGAAAAAGTAGACTCTGCTCTTCATTTAGACCTTGAGAATTTAATTCTTTTTAAAAACGCGCAGACAAACTTTCAAATGTCGGTCTATCAGGCGAGGGGAAACCGCGTAAAAACACAACTTTAAGTTCTGACGAAAGGCGAACTTTATTTACAGCAGCTGAATCCGAATTAGAATCCGTGAACTTTGCAGTTTTCGTCCTTTGCGATGCCAACCTTCACCAGAAATTCCTTGATGTTATGCCTCTGGTCACCGGTCAGTTGAATCACCTCGCCGTACTCTGGGTGTTCCACCACGGTACCGTTGCAGTTGTACTCCTAAACACGGTACCGAAGTCAAATGTCAACAACGATGCTGCTCCACATATCCAAAGTGTGAACACAGACCTTTTTCAGGTAGCGCACGATTTTCTTAAGATCATATTCCCCGGCGATGCCCTGCACAGTGGTGATCGTTTTTCGACCTGTTCGCTGCTGAATGCGGATGTGAATCAAGCCTTGCTTCGTCCCTTCCTCATCGTCTAGTTGTTCGAACGCATCTAAATAGCAGAAACTCTTGTATCACCTTGTGTGCATACCTTTTCTTCGCAGGGCTTACCTTTAGGTTTGCTCAAATTTTGAATCGACAACTGGCTGGTATCGACCATCGTGCTCTCTAGTAACGTTCTCGTTATCGATTTCGTTTAATCAGCAAGTCATTCAGGTATACTGTATTTAAATTGCAATTGTCAAGTTACATCAATAAACTGTTTAACTTATTTAAGCATATTACTATTTCGAACAGGCTCGCGTAAGATGATACTGATCACTCTCGGTGGTGTGATCCAAAGCATATTGCACTAAAATGCATGCAGCCAAAATTATCGTCAGTAATCTATTTAGTTTTTCATCTAAAATAAATCGATATCGGGCTGAAATGACGAAAACTTACAGTGTATATAAAGAAAAACCTTTCTTTCTTTACACTGATAATGCAGTGGTGTAAGGCAGATGGGAATCTTACACTAGGTGGTACCACATTACTGCACGCTGTTCTGCCCCATTGCTCTATTAGCTTATGGGGACCAGGTAAGCAGGTCAACGGTTCTATGGTATATTTAAGCACCGGCCGTACATAAGACGCAAGCTGCGTCTCTTGATTAAGAAATGCTCAAGCCAAACGCCACTATTGGTAAGCGAAAATCGGAAACACAGTTCTGATGTTCTGGAGTTGACTCCATGAGGAAAAATTAATATTCGTTTTTACTTTCCAGCCATTTTCAGGAACATTTGTCTTGCTCCAGCTAACACTGTCAAACTGTTGCGCATTCGTACAAAACAGGCGATGAAATGGCACAAACTTTTCTAAATAAATAATTCTGAAGTTATTATGGCAAGAAATATTGCTGCAATTATTCATACTAACTATTTTGTTCTGAAATAGTATTGTGAAATGACTGTAGTTGTCTTAAATACATGAACATGCAGCTGTAATAGAATAAATACTTACTTCATTAATGCCCCCTTAACAATAATAGTGCATTATTCAGTGCAAGTTTCCATATGAAACAAGTGGTGCATGTAAAATAAATTATGAAGTTCCTGAACTTTGCATAAAATTAGCACCGATATTACTGGTTTAATACCAAACTACTAGTTTCTGATACCTTCGGTAGGAAAATAATATTTTTGTTTATTTCGGATTTATACCGCGTTCATAACTATATAAATTCTTTTGTTTCATTTCATAAGAGTTGGAACATCGAGTGGACTATCAATGTAACAAAGATAATCAAGAAAAAAACGCATCGAGAATTAGGTGTAGGCTACGCGCATGTCTCAACAGCACTTAAATATCTGGGATTGCAGAACGCAACTAATGACCAGTCTAGGAACGTCACGACGATCTTTATACACACTGATAATGCCAAAATGCGGTTCTCATATGTACTTATCGATATTTAAATCAATGAAAAAGGCAGGTCATAGAAAAGAATTATTAATATTGAATATCCTAAGCTTTATAAATTTGTTAATCAATGGAATAAAGGAAGGCTGGAGTTACTTGGAAGGCATTTCGAAGTGAGTGTGAAATACAATGCCGTGATGTTTTTAGTAAGCTGCGACATTATGTCCCCTTTCGTAGCGGTATTGCTTCTACAAATGGAGAAAAAACAGCGATGAAAAAACACTAAGTAAGCTGAATTCGGGAACTGAACGGATTTAGCAGTAATGCAAATAAAACAACTCCCGGGATTGTCTAAGGATATTTCAATACAGCATTCGGAATGAAAGTGAATGGCGAGGAGAACTTCGCCTGCAAATGGGAAGAAGACGAATAGGAATTCTTTGAACTGGATGTTTATCATAGCCTTCGCTGAAACTATCCGTCTCTTCTTTTTGAGTATCGCAATAATAAAGACGGAGTAGTCATAATGGAAGGCTCTTAAACTAAGCCGGCTATGTACTGACAGATGAGTTATGACTGACATCGATATCAGAGCATCATTCACTGGCAAATACATCATTGAGAGTCAAAGAGGCTTCAGTATTCCGCGGTTATTATCGAAGTCGCAGAAAATGAAATCAACGAAGCGATATCAAAGCTAACCTTAGCATAATGGAACATAAGACTTCTAAAGACCAGCACTGCCATCATTAGACCTTATCAGCAAGTGCATGAATGTAGATTACTGTAATATTGTTTATATCGTCAATGCTGTCATATGAAAATTAAACTTGACAGCAAATTTTGCAACGTAAAGGAACCAGTTCATCGTCCGTTCAACAGCGCTGCTAGCTATCAGAATAGCCCAAATGAAGGTTAAGAGAAAATGAACGACGCAAAACGGACGTGGGTGAAAA